GAATGTACATTATAATGTCTCTACCCATTATGCAAATTCAATAATTTGCATGATGACATCATTCCTCTGCTTCCCTCCCCCCCCCTTCCAGGAATGCATATAGTGACTGCTGTAAGAGTAGGATGTTGGAAAATTCAGCCAAGCTTTCCAAAAGAATGTATAATTCCAGCACATTCCTGGGATTTTTTTTTTAAATGCATATAGCATGATATGTCTGCATGGAATATATCTGCATGATTGCAGACATGTTTATGTTCCTTTTTGGTAGAATGAAACAGCTAGCAGCCTAGCTGAAACCTAATTCTCTAGGAATGCAAAGATGGAACTTGAATAAGGAAGGAAGTTGTGAATAATGTGGATTCATAGCAGGAGATTGGGTCTCTAGAAACAAACTAAAAAAAAAACTGTTTTGTTGACCCAATAACTCTTTCTTCTTCCAGTCCTGTAGGGGATGGAAATAAATATCTAAAGCCTATTATTATTTCAGAAAAATAATAGTTGCTTCCTTCAGGCACAGAAGGGGGACATAAAGAGCTTGTCATTTATAAACAAACCACTGTACATATGACTTCTACCTCATGGTCAGCAAGATTTACATCATTTCCCCATTTTTTAGATCAGGGAATATAAGTAACTTGGATCTGTCTGTAATTCTTCCACAGCCCTTTTCGACAGCAACAGAATATTTCAAGTGGGATATTAAAGGGACCGAAACAAGTGTTCCTTCAAAACCCAATACAAGCATTACTGCTAGTAGTGTTTAACAAATTGCCTAGAAATCATAGGGAATAATTTAGCAATCAAAAGCTTTCTCTTTAAAATATTTTCTGCTACCTGTCAAAAACAGTATCCCCTTTGCTACATTCAGGAATAGATTAGGGGAAAAAAAAATCAGAAATTACTCTGAGGCAATTTTACAAAGGTTGGTACCAAACTAGCTTTATCCTTCTTACAGGGGGGGAAAAACACAAAAAAACTTGCAATTAATTAGGACAATAATTATTTTTGTCCTATTTATTTAAATTACTCAAGTCTCTCTCCTTTGTTATTTGGAAAGAGGGAGGGAGGAAGGAAAAGGAAGGAAGGAAGGAAGGAAGGGAGGGAGGGAGGAAGGAAGGAAGGATAGGATTACCTCCTCACTACCCTTCCTTTCCAACAGCAGTGTGAATTCAGAGTACCCCACTGGGCTCGGAGAAGAATAAAAGAAAAGAAAGTAAAAGAAAAACAAATAACACAACCCTGTCTGTAGGAAATCACTCTGCAAAAATCGGACCCCCTTCAATCTTACACACCTGACATTTAATTATTCTGCAAAATGGAAAGAGGTCAAGTGGAACGAATGATTTTTATACAAAAATCCCTTTGACATCTGCTGGAAACAGTGGCATGCCAACCTCCTCTGTGCAGAATCAAAGCAACGAAATTAGCAGGAAAGAGTGTTGTTTGAAGGCCATCTCCTTTACAAAGGACAGCCACAGTGCAGATTTTGTTGTTCTGAAATATCAAGCTGATCCTCAACTACATTTGGAATTATCTGGTTTTAGCTGGGCAACTGCAAGATAAGTCATCAGTTGATTTTAGCCACCTACAATTCTTCCTTGGACTTCTAGGCCAAATCTTGAAGGTCTGTCCTAGGCATCTGGACCCACTTAAATAATGAAGTATACTTTAAGAAAGGCAAGGATAGTGATGGTCTCTACAACCCCGGGTAATGCTGGCATCAATTCATTTACTGCTTGAAAGTTTTTTCAATTAATTTACAATGATTTAACTGGTAGGTTATACAACAGATTAAAAAATGTAAGTAATGGATGAACTGTAACAATATAACTGTGGCTAGGAGATAAGACTTGGATCTTTTATCCTGCAGTTTCCCATACAGTTGTATAAATACAGTGCCTGGGAATTAGAACTGTGCAAAGTTCAAGAGATGCTGATTTTAAATCTAGTTAATTTCTCAATCACAAGCTATGAACAGTCTGGTTGACAGTTCCCAATACCAATTATGAGGATAACAACTCTGCTTTGTTTTCCAGTGTCACCATTACCTGGAAACATGGAATTCACAGAAAGGGGAGCAAGCGATGTACTTTTCATTGTAACATCATAACATGTGTGTTATGTGCGTCACACATAATACACAGGCAGAGCTTCAATTGTGCCATTGTGACTGCCATCTTGATTTTTTGGCCACACCCTGCAGACACTCCTGGAAGCAGTGAAGATAAAGAAAACTCTCCTATTCCATAGGAGATCAAGAATATTGGAAGATATTGGAAGGAATACAGAAGATACTCTTGTGTTACCTCCTCCCTAAACCAAACATAGCTCCAGTCCCCCAAAATATAATAACCTACTCTACCTTTTCCTGCACATTATAGATTGTTTTTATGGCATTTGGAAAAGTGAAAGGAGGGAAGGAAATAAGGATCTGTAGAATGAAAGGATCTTGTGTTCTTTTTCTGTTTTTCACCACTGATACCTCCAAGCCCATCAATTGCATTTAGCAACATTTTTCTCCTAAATAGAAATGGAAAGCTGAATCTGAATCATCATCAAATTGGGGAGGGGGGAAGAGAAAAAAGCAGAAATAAATATCATCTCAGGGAGTTCTCTGCTGTTGAGAATGAAGCTCATTATCTCAATTATCTCTGTAATCCACACCTTTTCTGCTAACTGAAAAGCAACACTGATTACCGCTGAACCCATCTCCATGGGGCAAAAAAACTTAAATAAATTGAGCACAGGAGCTGGGAAGATCAGGACTGACCTGTCAGCATTACTTGTACTGCTGTCACTTTTCAGATACAGTAGGACTGTCAAGCCATTGCAAGGACAGGCAAATGCTCCTGATAAAACACCTTGTTCTTTTCTGCTGGACTATTTCAAAAGGCAAACTAAGTCTATTGTCTGTTCCATGTAGCATTTCTTTGCTACTAGACTTTGAGGATTACAGTCACTCTGTCCTTAAATTGCATATCTTGGGTAGGAAAGCCATGAAGATGCTTCCATACAATTATTATTATTACTGTTGATGTGTTCCCACTCTTAGTCATTGGGAGTTGGGCAGAATATAAATTTAATAAATAATAACAATAATAGCCCTTGTGGCATTTACTAACATTTCTATGCTACTCCATTCCAAAAAAATGCATTAAAAATAAAACAGAAATGAGCAACTAAACTAAACTACTACTATTAGTACTGCATATCCTACTCCTCCTCTTACCACTAGATTAGATGTGATCACACTTTGAGTTTCCAGCATGCTTTATTTTTTATTAATAGCAACAATGTCAGGTAGTTTGGGCTAAGAAATAACAGTTGGCCCAAATTCATTCAATGAAATGCATGGTCAGCTGAGAGATTTAATCTGGGCCTCCCCTATATTATTAAGGTTGGTCTCACAGCCAGCCAGATGTTTAGACTGGATTTGGCATTTTTATCTATCTATTGAGTCCTTCCCAAGGACCTGGGATAGGCAGATGTTGTTGTTTGATGGTGTTATATTATTATTATTAGTAGTAATAGTAGTAGTAAGCCACTAACCACACTAGTTTCCTCTAGATAATTCTGATCAGTGCCATTCATATGCATTAACTGGAATGTGTTTGACTCAAAGAAAATGCAAGCATTTGATTGCACCTGCTTTAAAAAGATTCAGTAATGGGTGGATTAATGAAACAAAGCTAAAAACCAGGGCCAAAACCAAAGCTTATTAGGTGTTCCAAACCCCTCTTCTTCCAATTTGTGTTCCAATTTTAAAATATATATTGAAGAGCAGGGATGGGCAACTGGTTGCCCATTTCTTGTGCCCCTCATTCCTTTTTATGCCGCCATAGACCTACCTCAACCTACCTACCTAGACTGCCCTAGACTTACCATCCTCCCTGGATCATGCTGCTAAATTGAGGAAGCCAATCAGCAGATTAAATGGAGTGGATACTTTTCAACTAAAAAGTGATATAAGGGGGAAATGAGAAGTAAACTGCAAGACATCCTCTCCTTCATTCCATTTCTACCAAGTAATTGTCCCACTTACAATTTTTATGTAGTACTTCAATGCAGCCATGACCTGCACCATCCATAAACTCCTGTATCTGGTAGCAAATTAAGTCCAGAAAATTATGATATTCAGGAGCTTGATTTGCAACCCTTCAGGAAGTTTCTAAATATTCCAAAAGTCACAATTTCTTATTTATTTGTTTATGCATTCATTTATACAATATTTATAGTCCAGCCTAATCCTAAGAGATCCTGGGTGCAATGCAACGAAGTCCCAAAGAAACACATTAAGAACATATATCAGTAATAGAAATCAATAATTATAAAAACCTCTAATAAATCAAAAGCAGCGTTCCCCTAACCTAAGGGCCAAACTTTTTTCCACAAAATCTGAGCAGATTGCAAATATGTAAGTATCTTGCTTCCTTTTGGCTCACTCTGCCAGTGAAGTCCAATTCCAAAGGATTTTTTAGCATCCTGAGAGGAATTTGAACAATGCCAATTGATTTCTCTGCAGTGGGAAGAGATTAATTAAATCAGAAAAAGAGTGACTGGTAGGCGGTGCTGGGAGAGTGGGGGAGGGAGATAAAATGCCATCATAAAGATAACTATTTTGTGAATGAGATATATTAAAAAAGTAAAGCTAGCATCAGAGTCACCTGTTATCATCTGTTGAGGATATCTAGCTTTGCCCCCAAAATAAGGGGACTGATTTAACACATCCGCTCTGGCCTGGTAGGTCAGATAGGCCTTGCATAGACAAATATTCTGGCTAACTGAACAACAAGCAACTCATCCCTATAGAACTCAATAGCATCAATGTTCAATTCAATACAAGTTCAGGACATGCTGGTTCCACCTCCTGGTTTCACCGAGTAGTGCGGGGAAGCATAATAATAATAATTTTAAGAAATGCAACTCATTGCTAGCCCTTTCTAAAGAATTTCAAGTTCATTTTGGAGTGCCATCAGCACCTCTAAGCAACAGCCTTTTACCTCTGAAGTTGTTGGTCTGCAATAGCCCGCTCCAAAGACTAGGTTTTCTAGCGACATCCCAGGCAGATCTGGCCCCATATCCAGGCTGCCTTTACCAAGCCAGGAAGCCCTTCCTGGACGAGCAAAACTAAAGAAAAACAGAACACATGGAACATTCAGGAATTAGTACAATCAAAATCTCCCTCACTCATGCCTTCCTTTGTGCACTGGGAATAGTTGGCTATTTTTACATGCCCGTGTAGCTCTTTAGGAAAAAAGCAGAGACTGAAAAATATCCAGTGGAAGAGAATACATGTAGCTCAGAGTTGAACTGTGGAGTCCTTGGTGTTCTCTGAGCTTGGCTGTTTGCTTGCAGACATTTCTTTACCCAACTAGGTAAGATCAACAATGCTAGTGAGTGTGGGGTTTGCTCCCTGTTTATATACAGTAGCTTGCCCTGCCAGTGTTGGTGGGGGTGTGGTTTTCTCCTTGGTAGTTCCTTGATTCAATCCTTGATTTAATTTAATTCAGTCTTTGATTCAATCCTTGATCCAATCCTTGATTGACTCAAGGAACTACCAAGGAGAAAACCGCAGAAAAAAATTGGGTGGACCCCAAAAAGCACAGCCACAGTGCACACATTCAGGAACCAATGGAGCCTGATGATCAAAAGTAGGATAGGAAAAGAAAACAAATGTTTGGATTAAGGATAAGAATTTTCTTTTCATTTCTTTTTTGAAACCATCCCCTAGCTTGTACTCATGAGCTGATGTGGCCCATTTTAATACCTAAACAAATACAAACTACTTAATATGCATGTGTACTGTACCTGTGTGAAAATTAAAGCTCACATAAAATTTAAACAGTTAAAAAGAAGCACTGAATGCAAAATTAATGTTCAGGGCTGTGCCAGTCCTTCAAAAGTAGCACTCTAGGATTTGTAGGAGCACAAAGGACTTCTCTCCAAATCATTAAAGCAGCCATGTCTTTTTCATTCACCTTCTTTGAAAGCTCCTCCCAGCTGTCTCCATCATCATCTGCAGGGCATGGCCACTTTACTTTGCTTTAAAGTAAAATTTAAATAAAGACATGTCTGCTTTACTGACTGGTAGAGAGCTGATTTATTGGCACTCCTGTGGAAGGATGCGCATAGCTCTGGAAGGATTTGCACAGCCCTCCTGCATTTTCTTTTCGGAAAGTGATGGTTCACTTTACCTGAGGAGGGGCTGGTTTAAAGCCACCAGAGAGGCATGCAGAGTAACAGTGACTGCCGACAGGTGAAAATAATCAAACATGACAGGGACGTGGTGGTGTAGGCCTTGCCTGGGGTGGAAGTGGAGTCCCAACGTCCGGCTGCTTATTACGGGGATGGCCAGAACGTCTCTCAGCCTGGAAGGAGAGGTTGGAAGAGTTGAGAAAAAGAGACGTTGGCTGGCTCTGCGACATTGTTGCTGCGGCAGAAATGCAGGCGTGAATGGAATTTTGATCACTGGGCTGTTATTCTCCTAGCAGTGAGTCACACTTCTAGAGTTGCTGCTCAACTCCCTACATTGTAATTATTGCAGCAACAGGGTCAATTTGTTGATACTGCCATGAGAATCCTCAAATGGTTTGCCTTCTACCATTCACACATAGCCATCTTTCCTTTCCTTTCCTTTCCTTTCCTTTCCTTTCCTTTCCTTTCCTTTCCTTTCCTTTCCTTTCC